ATTGTCCCCATCAGTCACTGTAGGAACCAGTTACCGTCACCAGCCATGGGAGGCGCACGGCCTCTCTTTACTGGACCACCCAGCCTTCCAACTGCTCGGAGCCGGCCCAGTAGATCAAACCGACATGCCATCCTGGACCCACACCAAGATGTTTGTCCTCAGAGCGACTGGAAACTAAGGAACCTGATTTTGAGCCTGACACTGACCTGCCCCTACTGGAAGGTCATCTGGAGGGATTACTGCTGAGTTCTTGAGACAGATGGTTACTTCTGCTCCACAGAAGCTGTGGGGTAGGTGGGTCCCAGGTGAAAGATGTCAGGTGGCTGAGCAAGGCTCTGAGCAGAAATTTACTGTATAGCTCAAGCTTCAAACCGAGGAGGATTCTTTCTCCTTATCCTCCTTTCTTTGCTTGCCCAGCTCGGCTGTCCCTGCGTGCAATGGAGGGAAAGGCCACGATCCATGCAGGTGCCTCTGTCTGTGACCCTCCCCTGCAGCACTGACTAAATGACAGTCGCCACGTGCGTCACCGTCCACAGCCTCTGCCCTCCAGCGATTACGGCGGGAGGCCCAGCAGCGCCAACAAGTCCTCCAGGACACCTGAGCGTGGCCCAGAGGAATGGACTCTATCCAAACGCTTGTCCGGGCTGTGTCCCCAAACTGGGCACTGAAGGGTCATCCCCAGCTCTGCGTGACCATTTTCCCACAGAATCCAGGGCAGGGGGGCTTGTCTGAGCTCCGGAATTATCCCAGGGTTTCCAGTGGCTGGAGGAAGAAGTGGAAAATGAGTGGTTGGATTTGGGTTGTCCACAGCCGGTGGCTTACAGGAAGCAAGGAAAAGAAAGGGAAGCGGTGGGGCTTCCCTGGCGGTCCAGTGGTTAAGACTTGTGCTTCCACTGCAGGGGGCTTGGGTTTGATCCCTGGTTGGGGAACTAGAATCCCGCATGCTGCGTGATGCAGCCAACAAAAAAGAAAGGGAAGGACTGAGTCACTGCAAGTCTTGATTTTTTATTCTGGTAAAATACACGACAAAGAACTTACCATTATAACCATTTTTAAGTGTACGTTGCATCGGCATTCGGTACATTCATATTGTTGTGTAACCATCACCCCCCCATTCATGTCCAGAACTTTTCCGTCCTCCCCAGCAGAAGTTCTGTCCCCACTCCCACTCTGAGCCCTGCTGTTTGCATTAGATAGCCCCGCCTTCCCACCGGGTGCAGAAGTGACAGTGATCATGGGAGGTGGACGCCCAGGAATACTCACCAAATAAGCACACATTTTGTAAGTAACTGATGGGCCAGAAGTCCCTAAAGGCTCTCTAAAATAAGCACAAAAATCAAGAATACTATCATGAGCTCAGGGGCCGCGGGCCGTGGTGATGAGGTCTGGGATGGTACTCGCCATGCGGCTCTGATGGCAAGGGAGGGGGCTTCACAACAGGGTCCGTGTCAGGGGCAGAGACAGCCCGCTTTAACCTCCTCTGTCGAGGCTGCCTGTGACCCTGCACACTGGGCTGGGTGGCTCAAAGGTCCCACGCCAGTGGACCCCATCCTAGCACCTCAAATACATCACTGCATCGGCCCAGCTGCAGCTTATTACAAGGGGGGCACTGTGGTTGCCATTTCACAAGCAGGAAACCGAAGCGCTGGGTTGGAGTGAGGAAGCGGCAGGAGCCCCGGCCCCCGACCCATCAGACGTCACCACTGCAGGTGCTGGACACCGAGACTAGGGACTTCCTAGGCTGCCCGGTTATTCCAGGAAAACGGAAACGCCTTCCACACTGGAGCCTGGGGACTGCCTGCACCTCCACGATGGCCCCATGTCACAGGATCCTGAGTGACTCGGGGACATGCCGGTTCTCAGAGTGTGGTCAACAGCACCTCCTGGGGCACCCTCCTGGGAGCCCATCCCCCAGACCTGGAGACTCTGCCTTTTAAGCAGCCCCTCCCGCCCCCAGGATCCAGGAGCGCTTTGAGGAGAGCGGGTGGGTCTGGAGGGGCAGATGCTGGCGTCCAAGGAGCCCGGTTTGGACCCGTGGCCTGGCCGTGGATAACTGACCTGGTCTCACTGATTCTCTATCCTTATTAGTACAGTGAGGATAATTCTCCCCACAAAGGGTTTTTTGAGGGTTAAAAATGATCATTTAGGGGCTTCCCTGGTGGCTCAGTGGTTGAGAGTCCGCCTGTCGATGCAGGGTACACGGGTTCGTGCCCCGGTCCGGAAGGATCCCACATGCCACGGAGCGGCTGGGCCCGTGAGCTGTGGCCGCTGAGCCTGCGCGTCCGGAGCCTGTTCTCCGCAACGGGAGAGGCCGCGACAGTGAGAGGCCCGCGTACCGCAAAAAAAAAAAAAAAAAAAAGATAATTTAGTACAACATCCGACATACAGTGTTGCTCACTCTCTAAAGAGCAGCTTCCTTCCCTTTGCTTTTGGGGAAAAAATGCACCAAAAAACTGTTTGAGTTTTAAGCAGCAAATTTTCGGGAAATGATCTGGTATAACAGTTATAATCATAAAATGTAATGGAAAAAAGATTATCTAGGACTGAGCTTAAAGTGTAAGACTGATACAAACAAAAAAAAAACCAAAAATGAGGGGAAAGAAGGAAACTTTTAGCTACACACATAAGAAGTATTATCAGAGTAAAATGTGCTGTGTCTCCGGTGACAAGTCACAACAGTGTAAAGTCACCGCTTATCCCACAATTAATCGGTAAATTCTGCACAAATGCAATAAATATTTTATGTGGTTTTTACTTTTGATATTTTGACAAAACGATCCCGAAGTTGATCTGGAAGAACGAGCACGTGAGGAGAACCGGGAACATCTGACAAATACCAGGGGGAGGTGCCGCATCAGCCGTCCACACAAGTGCGTGCGCTGGGCCTGGACACTCCTTTTTTTCCCTTTTCTGCTCATGTGTTATATTTTAACAAAAGGGCCCCCCCCCACACACGCACATACACATCCCACACGCACAGGTAGTGTAACAGCCACCAGATGAGAAAGACAGATCAAAGAACAGAAGAGTAAGTACAGAAGCAATCCCACGTATAGAAGTGGGATTTACAATCGGTGCAGAAAGATGTGGTTAGAATAACTGGTTAATATTTGGGGAAAAGCAAAGTTAGATACATCACCCTTTATGTCCCCAAACTTTGTAGCTAAAGCAAAGTTCTATGTGTTCAAAATGAAATCAGAATCATGAAAAATGTCGATGCATAATTTACATATCAGTTCATATAATGTATGTAATCCGGGTGAAAGGAAGGTCTTTGTCGAATGGTTCCAAGAAGAGAAACAGGCTAAAAAGAGGCCAACAGATATGACAGCTAAAAACTTCCAGCAAAGGACTTTGTAGACCTCACCGAAAAGAATGTGAAAAATTGTAAATGGGGAAAAAATACATGTAACAGATGAGAGGAAAACAGACATTATTTAACTCCTAAAAATAAACGACCATGACATGCACCCCAACAGGAAAATGGCCAAAGATGGGACATTCAGAAAGGACACCCACGTGGCCGATGACACGTGTCAGAAACGCAACGCGGGACCCGCGCATTAAGACCACGAACTTGGTGCAAAGGTCAGATTGGCAGGGATCAAAAGGGAACTTTTGCCAAAAAAATCAAAATTGAATCTGATTAAGCTTCTGTATCAACACCAATTTATAGGAAGTACAGAGGTCAGAGGAGTAGGTAGAACATGGGACATGCAATTAGCAACATCTCAGCACAAACTCTATGAATAGTTTCCTGAAAATACACTGCAAGGGGGGACAGGAGGTGGGGGACCCGTGATCAGAGACTCAGGACAGATGAGCCACTCAGGTGCGTGGACCCTGTCTGTGTCCTGCATCCAACTCAAACAAGTCATGAAAAACCAAACATAATAAAAACAATCACCTGTGAAATCAAAGAGGCGTGTAGGAATTTGACCAAAGACTAGAGAGAGATTTCATAGTATAAGGAATTATTGTAAATTTTGTTTGAGGGCTGAAAATTGTATTGTGGCTATGCTTTTCACTTTGTCTGTTTGGGAGGACAGACTGAAATAATTATAGTTGAACTAATATTATGTCTGGGATCTGCTTCCAGTGCACAGGGAGGGGGAGAGCAGGTGGGCAGGACTGGCCGTGGTGACCCTCGTTGGAGCATGTCAAAGGCTAAAGGGGGTCCTTGTACTATTTCTTCTGCCTACTTTTGTGTGTGTTTAAGACGTGCTAAGTTAAAAAGAAAAAATAAGAGTGGGTTCTATTCGGTGTTGGTGAAAGGGAAGGGACATGGGACCACCTTTCCAGAGGACAGAAGACCAGTGTACCTGCTGACCTAGCAATACAACTTCTAGAATCTTCTCTTATGAATATAATTGAAAAACTTTATAAAAATGTATGTGTAGGACTCCCCTGGTGGTGCAGTGGTTACAAATCCACCTGCCAACGCAGGGGACATGGTTTTGAGCCCTGTTCCAGGAAGATCCCACATGCCACAGAGCAACTAAGCCCATGCGCAACAACTAATGAGCTTGCACTCTAGAGCCTGCGAGCCACAACTACTGAGCCCACGTGCCGCAACTACCGAGCCTATGTGCCACAACTACTGAAGCCCGCGCGCCTAGAGCCCATGCTCTGCAACAAGCGAATCCACCGCAATGAGAAGCCTGCGCACCGCAACAAAGCCTGCTCGCCGCAACTAGGGAAAAGCCCACGCACAGCAACAAAGACCCAACACAACCAAAAATAAATTTAAAAAAAAAAGTATGTGTAAGAATATTTATCCAGCAATTTTTGTGATAGCAAGTAGATGAAAGAAAGAAAGAATGAATGAATGAATGCAAAGAACCTACATGCACATTAGACAGGGAGTGGGAAAATGCACCGTGTATTTTCAGTCAATGGAATACTATGCAGCCCTCTTCTTTTTTTTTTTTTTTTTTGGCCATGCCGTGCGGCTTTTAGGATCTCAGTTCCCCCACCAGGGATTGAACCTGGGCCCTCGGTTCCCCCACCAGGGATTGAACCTGGGCCCTCGGCAGTGAAAGTGCTGAATCCTAACCACTAAACCACCAGGGAACTCCCGATGCTGCCCTTTAGAATGACAACCTAATACACACTTGCTGACATGAGAAGATGTACATGATGCTAACATCAAAAGTACAGGCCTACAGATGTGCGTGTCCACACAGAAAAAGATTTATAAGGATACACGCTGAAATGTGAACATTAGTTACCTCTGTGTAGGGATTATAGATGACTTTTAAAAAATATATTTTATTTATTTGGTTGCACCAGGTCTTAGTTGCGGCAGGCGGGCTCCTTAGTTGCAGCTCCTGGGCTCCTTAGTTTCAGCTCACCAGCACCTTAGTTGTGGCACACACGTGGGATCTAGTTCCCCAACCAGGAATTGAACCTGGGCCCCCTGCATTGGGAGCGCACAGCCTTATCCACTGCACCACCAGGGAAGTCCCTGACTTTTATTTATTTACCTATTTATTTTTTTATAAATTTATTTTATTAATTTTTGGCTGTGTTGGGTCTTTGTCGCTGCGCACGTTTCTCTCTAGTTGCAGTGAGCGGGGGCTACTCTTCGTTGTGACACGTGGGCTTCTCATTGTGGTGGCTTCTCTTTGATTCAGAGCACGGGCTCTAGGCACGTGGGCTTCAGGAGTCGTGGCTCATGGGCTCAGTAGCTGGGGCGCACGGGCTTAGTTGTTCCACGGCATGTGGGAATCTTCCCAGACCAGGGCTTGAACCTGTGCCTCCTGCGTTGGGAGCGCAGATTCTTAACCACTGTGCCACCAGGGAAGCTCCCTGACTTTTTTTTTTTTTTTTTTTTTTTTTGGGTTCACGGGCCTCTCACTGTTGTGGCCTCTCCCGTTGCAGAGCACAGGCTCCGGACGCGCAGGCTCAGCGGCCGTGGCTCAC